GCTCAGTCAGTTAAGCGACTGCCTTCGGCTCAGGTCATGATCCCAGGGTCCTGGGATCGAGCCCCACATCCGGCTCCCTGCTCGGCGGGAGGCCTGCTTCCCCCTCTCCCGCTCCCCCTGCTTGTGTTCCTGCTCTCGCTGTGTGTGTGTCTCTCTCTCTGTCAATTAAATAAGTAAAATCTTTAAAAAAAAAAAAGTCAAATGCTACACCAACTGAGCCAGCCAGGTGCCCTTTAGTTTTTATTTAAATTTGGCCTTTTAGCTCCTCCCTTCTTGTGCTTTTCAGTCTGCTTTGTTAGTCTTTTTCTAGCTTCCTGAATTGACAGCTTAGGTCAATTATTGTCACTCTTTCTTACGGTGGTTGGATGTGGTGAATCTGCAGTCATCTTCAACCACCCCTCATCGCTTCCTGATGTCCCGATTGTGTGCCATAAGGGATTCTCAGCCTGGGAACTGATCGTCCTAAGAACTGTCTTTCTCAGTTGTTCCCCTCTAGCCTAACCTGAGGGGAAGAGTGGCAGCAGGAGACCACTCCCAAGAGCTGTCCTGTTGACCTCTGTTTCTATCAGCTCCCCACTCTGTCCAGGCCTGGCTTTGCTGTGATGTACCCTGCTGTCTCCGTCAGGGACTGGGCTTGCACTGCTGCTTCTCTGTCCTGCAGTGGAAAGTGTGGGGAGGGTAAGCAAGGATGGCAGGACAATAGACCTCAGAAAAGGCACAGTTAGAAACTCTAACCTGGCCCTATTTCCCTCTGAGCTGCCTTGTACTTTCCCACACACCAGGACCCAAATCACCATCTATTATTTCAGTGTTTTTCTGAATTTTATATTCAGTTCTAAGATCCATCAACCTTCTACAAAGTAACTGTGGCTCTTCTAGGATTGGTTTTTGGGAAGGGGGCCAGTTGCTATCTTGGCTTCCTGGCTTGCCTTGTACTTAGGAATTGAACCTGATACTGAGATTCAAGATGTTTGGGTTTAAAGATCGTAATAAATATACATGACATGTATTAATCAAACCTAACTGGGTAGAGGTGCAGCAGTTGTACCTTTAGCTGGTTAGAAATGAGAACTGCCAAGGACTGGCAGAGAACAGAAGCCTGAGGCTGTTGGTGTGATTTTGACATCTCTGCTTCTCCATTGAGGTTGTGATCCCACTTCTCTAATCTCTGTCCTAAGGAGCATAGTACCCTCCCTCTTCTGCTCTGGTATGGATAGCAGTGCTGGTTTGTAACTCTTCTGCCCGCCAGCATTTCCCATTAATCTTGATTTATGCAGTCCTCTAATTCTGGGCTGTGTGGATATGATTGCCTTCTCTTGTCTATTTGTAGACAATCTTTTTTGTCTATTTGGTAGAAAATCTTTTTGGTCCCGTGTGTAACACATAGTGTTAGATATTCCTGGTTGGCCTGCTCTGTGTGCCAGCTAAACAATCTACATTAAATTAAATTCAAGAAGTTTGCTTGGCATGCTTTTTCACAGAAAACCTCATCCCTGAGTGAAGAATTTAAATAATAAAAAACATAAGAGCCATAGTGGTCTCTATGGGACTTAAACTCTGTTGCATCACTTGACCTTAACCATAGGTGGGGTGAGGGAGGGAGGTGTCGAAAATCACAGTTTTAGGAAATGCCTCTGGCTAGATTAAATTAAGCTAGGTAGAGAGGTCCCCATATTGAAGTTTTCTCTGTTCATCTATGAGGTACATCTATTTGAATATCCCACTGACAAACAAAAGGAGTAAAAAAAAAAATGATCCTTAATTTTTCCTTCATGCATCTGTCTCTTCTCAGCTTTCCTGTGATCTTTCACGATTCCATCATTTTTTAGTTCCACCACGTTGAAACTTCATTCATATTAACTCTAAGCATTTCTTTCGCCATGTGTTTCAAATTTCTTTTTATTTTGAAAGCCACAACCCTAACTTACTGCTCTCTCAAAAATATGCAGATCTTTCAGACTTTCCACTACACCATGCTATATACAGTTAATAAATAATAGTAATTGTCAGCATCAACAGAGCTGACATTTATCAGATGCCTACTTCTGATGCTTTATATCCACATCCATATATCCATAGCCTACTAATACAAAGACTGTGCTTGGTTCTCATATATAGAAAGTTCCAGGGAAGATGCAGTTAGCATTTATTGACATGCTATTATTTGCCAAGTAGTATGCTAGGTACTTTAAATAGTCATTTATTCCTTATAGTGCAAGTCTTGGAAGTAGTTACTATCTCAGTTTTACATATTTAAAAACCGAAGCTTAGAAAAGTTAAGGGACTTGACCAAGGTGGCAGAATTTTAATTCTAACCAAGAATTTTCTAACTTTGAAACGCATGTGCTTTCTGCTGTTCCACACTGCCTTCCAAAAACTGTATCTGACATGGTGCATTTGTTCTTCAGATGCTCAGTAAGACTTGTGTGTCATGGGGCGCCTGGGCGGCTCAGTTGTTAAGTGTCTTGCCTTCAGTTCAGGTCATGATCCCAGGTCCTGGGATCGAGCCCCACATCGGGCTCCCTGCTCGGTGGGAAGCCTGCTTCTCCCTCTCCCACTCCCCCTGCTTGTGTTCCCTCTCTCGCTGTCTCTGTCAAAAAATAAATAAAATCTTAAAAAAAAAAGACTTGTGTGTCATGCACTGAGCATATAGTCTCACACCTTTCAGATATAAATCCTCTCCAAGTAGAGATAAGATGCATATAGATGAATTAGTATAATTCAGAGTAGACAAGTGTCTTGAATGAAAGGTCCAGGTAAAGCGCCAGGGGATTTTAGAAGGGGGAGAATTTATTTTAGACTGAGAAGTTCAGAGGGCAGACATGCTGGGAGAACTGCCCTCCGAGCTGGGTGGGGTTTGCTTGTGGGAACCAAGAACTTTCTTTGAAGGAGGAGAAAATGCTTGGCAAATGGAGATGGAAAGTGCAGTGTGTGTGATTGTGAGCTTCTTGAAGGAGCCCCGGAAAGTATACTTTAGAGAAGGGCTTTGTATACTTATTTTTAGGAGACATATAATATTTCTTTCTTTCTTTTTTTTTTAGCTTATGATTGAGCATGAGTCTTGTTATGATTAGTGAGAATGTAAAACTGGCCCGTGAGTATGCGCTGCTGGGCAACTATGACTCTGCAATGGTGTATTATCAGGGCGTTCTTGACCAGATGAACAAGTATCTGTACTCAGTCAAAGATACCTATCTCCAGCAGAAATGGCAACAGGTGAGACTCGTGCTGCTGTGTGTTTTAGTGGTTTCAGTACTCAGAAGACTTAAAGAGATCGTGACTGTCCTTTGCAGTTACACGTGAAGGGTGTATGGTTTGTTACGTGGATTTGTATATAATGTTACTTGAAATTTGATTTGTTATATTAGTAATAGTCCATATTCACTGTCATCAATATTGTGAGTTCTACTCAGTAATAGTTGTTGGAATCTAATAGATTAAAAAAATGGTTTTGTCGTATTTTTCTGTATCACATTTTTTTACCTATTAAAATTAGAATTGACTTTATTAAGCCATTGTTCAAACTGCAGATGATAGCTGAATGTCATGGTTACAGTATTTTCTGTAGAATATTCTAAAGCAGACCATATTTGAATCCCATATGAGGAATGTTAGTCACTGGGGACCAGTAGAAATTTACAGATGGAAAATGTAGAAGTTATAAGCCCACTTAAAGGTGGCATTTCTAACAAGTTTCAGCTACATCACAGAGGAAAGAAATGTTACAGAATTTGGGGCACCTGGGTGGCTCAGCCATTAAGCGTCTGTCTTGGGCTCAGGTCATGGTCCCAGGGTCCTGGGATTGAGCCCGCATTGGGCTCCCTGCTCCACAGGAAGCCTGCTTCTCCCTTCCCCACTCCTGCTTGTGTTCCCACTCTCACCGGCTCTCTCTCTGTCAAATAAATATAAAATCTTTAAAAAAAAAAAGTTACAGAATTTAATAGTATTTTTGAGCTGTTCTTCTCAGTAGAACGTTAATCCCTCAGATTCTACTAAACTGCTTTTTTTATAGTATTCCATTTTTGTACTTAATTTCTTTATGAGCGAAAAATATCCTACCTCTTTGAACTTAAACCTTTTTCCTTAATCTGCCTCTGCATATCCCTTGCATTCCAGAAGAGGAAAGTATTTTATTTCATAAAGAGTCTTAAATTTGTCACTGAAAGATTTATGTTCATTCGCTAGAGACTTTTTTCTTTTTTTTTTTTTTTTAAAGATTTTATTTATTTATTTGACGGAGAGAGGCAGTGAGAGCAGGAACACAAGCAGGGGGAGTGGGAGAGGGAGAAGCAGGCTTCCCACTGAGCAGGGAGCACGATGTGGAACTCGATCCCAGGACCCTGGGATCGTGACCTGAGCTGAAGGCAGATGCTTAACGACTGAGCTACCCAGGTGCCCTGGAGACTTTTTTTTCAAGTAGGCTACACACCCATCGTGGAGCCCAAGGTGGGGCTCGAACTCACAACCTGAGATCAAAACCTGAGCTGAGATCAAGAGTTGGACACTTAACTGAGCCACTCAGGCGCCCCTGTGGGCTAGAGACTTTTATTTTAAAAGTCTAAACTTTTTTTTCTTTAAGGTTTATTTGTTTATTTGAGGCAGGGGGTGGGCAGGAGGGAGATGGAGAGAGGGAGAGAGAGACTCTCAAGCAGACTCCCTGCTGAATGCCTGGGTGGCTTAGTTGGAGCCAGACGTGGGGCTCAGTCTCACAGCCCTGAGGTCATGACCTGAGCCAAAATCAAGAGCCGGATGCTCAACCAACTAAGCCACCCAGGTGCCCCTATTAATTTATTTTTAGATAGTAGAGTGCACACATGAGCAGGGGAGGGGGGGGCAGAGGAAGAGGGGAAGCAGACTCCCTGCTGAGCACAGAGCCCAACACAGGGCTCTATCCCACAACATGAGATCATGACCTGAGCCAAAACCAAGAGAGTGGGACACAACCGACTGAGCCCCCCAGGCACCCCAAAAGTCTACGCTTTTCTTGTGAAGATACTTAAATCATTTAGTTTTAAAACCAAACATTACCAACTTTCTTTCAATATTTTATATATTGTTTATAAATTGAGTCAAAAATGCTTAAAAAAAATCTTGGTTATATGTGATTTGGGCCATTTGTCATATGAAGCCATATTTTTCAAACTGTGGGTTTCAGCCCATTAATGATCTGTGAAATTAGTGCATTCTCATCACCATTTTAAAAGTCCAGTAACATAGCATAAAAAACATCAAAGAAGCAATTTATAAAAGGATTATTTTTATCAAAATTTCCAAAAAGAAAGTTAGAGCCAACTTCAATATATTATACAGTTTGAATATGAGCCGTAAGTTAGTAACATGGTTTAATTGGTCAAAATATTTAATTCATTTTCTCTTGCAATTGAAAAAAACTTAATAACCATTCTTAAAATTTCAGCAATATTTTGGCATGATTTATGGGATAACTGATGTCAAAATGGAGGTTTCCAACATCTCTAATAAATGGCCCTGGTTTAATCTTGGTAGTGATTTATTGGTTACAGATATTTAAAGAGCCATATTCTCCTTTGAAACCAGGTTTGGCAGGAAATAAATGTGGAAGCTAAACATGTTAAGGATATTATGAAAACACTGGAGAGCTTTAAGCTAGACAACACTCCACTGAAAGCTGCACAACATGAGCTTCCAGCCTCTGAAGGGGAAGTCTGGTCCTTGCCTGTACCTGTTGAACGAAGGTAAGTCGAGACCTTTTAAGAAACAAATTAGCCCAGGAAACTAATAGCTTTGGCTATATCTAGGAGCCCTGAGTGGCCGAGAGACAGGAACGGGAGGTTTTTTACTGAATACCTTTTAGAACTCTTATGTTATTTATCATGTAACTATGACCCATATTGATAAATTAAACTTAGGTGGAAATAACCCAAAAATAATGCTTTTGTGAATGAGCTTACAGTAGTGGAGACAACATTATCTTATAGAAGGAGCTGGGAATTGAAATATCTGAGCTCTCGTTCTCTCTTTGCCACTATTTGTAGTTTTGGAAAAAATATGTAACCTTTCGGGCACCAGTGTGGCTCAGTTGCTAAGAGTCTGCCTTTCAGCTCAGGTCATGATCCCAGGGGATCGAACTCACATCGGGCTCCCTGCTCAGTGGGAAGCCTACATCTCCCTCTCCCACTCCTGCTTGTGCTCTCGCTTTCGCTGTCTCTATCAAATAAATAAATAAAATCTTAAAAAAAAAATGTAACCTCTCTAGGCTTCAGATTTTTCTAACGTAAAGTGAGGGAGTTAGATTAAAACACTGGTTCTGAAACAGGCTATCACAGAATACTACTGTTCATCAAAATTGTTAACATGAAAAATGGGCTTTTTAATTCACAGGAAGAAAAGGATAAAATGTTCTGTTTTAAGGTTTTTTTTTTTTTTTAAGATTTATTTATTTGAGAGAGAGTGAGAGGGGAGAGGGTCAGAGGGAGAAGCAGACTCCCCGCTGAACAGGGAGCCCAATGCGGGACTCAATCCCTGGACTCAATCCCAGGACTCCGGGATCATGACCTGAGCCAAAGGCAATCGCTTAACCAACTGAGCCACCCAGACACCCATATTTTAGGTTTTTCTTTGGCATTTTTTCCCTCCGCTTCCTATTACCTGGAGCTGGCAAATGAATAGTTAGTGAAAGTGATATTTACTGAAATGCTCTACACAGCCAGTCGTGCTTAGTTTCACTGCATATTTTTTACTGGCAGGTATCAGATGGATGTCACTTGTCTATTTCACTCACATAATAGATTTCCTAGTTTGTATTGTGGACTTAAACATGTGAGTGTATAATAGCATTCTACAGAAAACACTGACTTGCAGGTCCTTTGCCCCCTAATCAGTTTGAGAATCTTGCACTAAGGAAGACATTGCTCAGGTGTTTTTCAGTTTCACATTGTCATTTGGAACTCTCAATTCTTTTTTTTTTTTTTGAAAGATTTTATTTATTTGAGAGAGAGAGAGAGTTAGCAAGAGCAGAAACACAAGCAGGGGGAGCAGGAGAGGGATAGCAGGCTTCCCGCTGAGCAGAGAGCCTGATGTGGGACTCGATCCCAGGACCCCGAGATCATGACCTGAGCCGAAGGCAGATGCTTAACCGACTGAGCCACCCAGGCGCCCCTGTAACTCTCAATTCTTGATTGTATTTTATGATAGGTGCTAGATGTTGAGTGCTCATGTGTCCTAAGCACTATTAGAGGCTACACATGTTATTTCATTTTTTCACAGCCTTTGAAATAAGTCATGTCTTCTTTATATTTCAGATAAGATAATTTGATGTACAGTGAAGCTAGGTAACTTTCCCCCATTATCACAAAGCTAATAACTGGTGGAGCTAGAATTTGAACACAGATATATTTGATTACAAAGCTGGCATTCTCTGTGCCCTACCGGTTATTCTCAAACTCTAGTATACCTAAAGATCTCTTGGGGCACTTACTAAAATGTGGATTCAGGGTTTTCACTCCCAGAGAGTCTGATACAATACAGGCATACCTAGGAGATATTGTAGGTTCAGGTCCAGACCACCACAATAAAGTATCACAATAAACAAAGTCAAATAAGTATTTTGGTTTCCCAGCGTGTACATAAAAGTTATTTATACTGTAATCTATTCAGTGTATAATAGGATCATGTCTAAAAAACACGGTGTACATACCTAAATTGAAAAATACTTTATTCCTTTTTTTTTTTAAGATTTTTATTTATTTATTTGATGGAGAGAGACACAGCGAGAGAGGGAACACAAGCAGGGGGAGTGGGAGAGGGAGAAGCAGGCTTCTCGCGGAGCAGGGAGCCCGATGCGGGGCTCGACCCCAGGACCCTCGGATCATGACCCAAACCAAAGGCAGACGCTTAACGCCTGAGCCACCCAGGTGCCCCAAAAAATACCCCATTCCTAAAAAATGTTAACCATCATTTGAGCTCTCAGCAAGTTATAATGATCACAGACCACCTAAGTAAAATATATAATAACTATATTATTATATATTTTATATTTATATATTATATAAAAAGTTAAAAATATTCCAAGAATCACCAAAATGTGACACAGAGACACAAAATGAGCCAATGCTATTGGAAAAATAGTACTGATAGGCTGGTTCAACATGAGGTTGCCACACATCTTCAGTTTGTAAGAAACAAAAACAAAAACACAGTGTCTGCAAAGCACAAAAAAGTAAAGGACAGTAAAACAAGGTATGCCTATAGACAGCAGGTGGAGCTCAGGAACCTGCCAGTGATTCTGACTCGTGGTCCATGGAACACACTTTGAGAAGTACCACACCAAAGTGTTCCCTCTCTACTTTAAGATCAACTAATGGGTATTGATTCCTTCCTAGTCACCTTAATTTTCTTCAGCCCCAGATAAAAGTACTAATGTTCTGTTATTGACTTCCATATCTTTTGAATATTTACTGAATTTTTCCCTTGTTCATAAGCACTTTTATATATACTATGTTTTCTGTTACGTTTTAGAATTCACTAAAAAAGTACAGCAGTGGGCTCATTAAAGAAAAATAGGAAAATGCATGAAAGTAGGGGCAAATCATATGGTCATTCCAATGCAGCATCTAGTCTTTGTTTATTTTCATAGGTATATTATATCCATGATATATAAATTTGTACCGTTTCTGAAAAAAAAAATCCTAGTAATAACAATCATCACACACTTACTGTATGCTAGGTACTGTGTTCATTCATTGCTTTATATATATTATTCTCAAAACAGTCTCAGAAGGTAGGTACTAATTTTTTAGCCCCAATTTCTGATGGGGACACTAGGTAGGTTAATTGGCTCTTCATACTGTAAGCATTGATGATTGATAAGCCACATCAGACCTTTCTCTCTGCTGCTTTTAAAGGGTTATGTTTAACCTACCTAGTTAACCATGCTTTTATTGGTGGTTTTCTGTTTTTTGTTATTATAAAGTGAATATTTGTAAGTGAATCTTTTTCTACATTTCTTTTTTCTTAATTTCAGTAGAACTAATAATAGATGAGTCAAGTTGTGTTTTTGTTTTTTCTTGCCTATTAATGTTTTATTCCTATTAACTTTTTTCTTTCCTCTTTCTGGAGAATCATCATTTGGCCCTTGTGTTATTAGTCTGTTCCTGCTGCTGTAACAAAATACACCAGACGGGGTGGCTTAGCAGAAATTTATGTCTTTTTTTTTTTTTTTTTAAGATTTTATTTATTTATTTGACAGAGAGAGACACAGCGAGAGAGGGACCACAAGCAGGGGGAGCAGGAGAGGGCGAAGCAGGCTTTCCACTGGGCAGGGAGCCCGATGCGGGGCTCAGTCCCAGGACCCTGGGACCATGACCTGAGCCGAAGGCAGACGCTTAATGACTGAGCCACCCAGGCGCCCCAGAAATGTATGTCTTTATTTCTCACAGTTCTGGAGGCTAAAGGTCCAAGATCAAGGTACTAGCTAGTTTGGTTCCTGAGGACTCTTCCAAGCAGACAGCTGCCTTGTCTCTGTCTTTGGGAACCATCACGCTCTCTGGTATCTCTCACAAGAACACAGTCCTCAGATCAAGGCCTTATTTAACTTTATTTCATTTATTTGTTTATTTTTAAGTAGGCTCCATGCTCAATATGGGGCTTGAACTCACCACCTGAGATCAAGAGTCACATGTTTTACTGACTGAGCCATCCAGGTGCCCCTAACTTTAAGTACTCCCTTACTCTAAATGGTCTCATTGGGGATGAGGAATTTAACATAATGAATTTTGGGGGGACACAAACATTCAGTCCATAACAGCCCTGTAACTCCTTTCTCGCTTATTGGTAAGAACTTTCCGATGAATACATGTGCCCAATGAAAATTTAGTTCATCTCAAATTTAATGAGTTATTTGGTCACCTCAATCTAACAAGCAGAGGCAGGAGGACTTTCTCTTGGGAGTGGTAGGAAATTGAATTACATGAGCCTCTTCATCTAGGAAATTCTATGATGATGAGTCCTAGTTCCCCTTCTGATTGTTTTTTGCTTTCTTCAATATCTTTTTCTGTCCCTGATGTTAAATGCCTTGGATCACTATTAACTGTAAAGTTCTCCTCTTTGACTTTATTTGCTGCGTCTTTGCTTCTTCCTGTAGTTTATTTTACTTGCTTCCTCAACTAGATAGCCCTCAAAACTTATGTTTTGTTAGTCTTCATTTGTACTCATGCTTATGAGAACCTACTCTTTGTTGAACTGTTGGTGACTCTAACCTTGTCATCAGCTAGATTGTAGTCCCATTTAAAGAACAGATTCAGTCTCCTCTGTGGTCATGCACAGAAATGTTTGTACAAGGAGATTCACTGAACCTTTTAGAGCAAAGATTAGAAATAGCTTCAAAGCAATTAAATGTGATTCTCTTAAAATGTCTTTTAAAAGCCATTTAGCATCCCTCAGATATCTCATCTCACAATAAAACCCAAGGTTTTCATCATATCCTTCAACAGCACATGCGGTCTGGTTCCATACTACCTCTAGAACCCGAGTTCTTACAACTCTCTTCCTCCTCAAGCAAGTCAAGCACACAGATACTTCAGTTCTTTGCACTTGCCTTTCCTTCAGCTCAGATGTTTGATGACTTGTTCTCTCGTTTCCTTCAGTTCTCACCTTAAATGTTACCTCAGAAAGGCCATCTCCAACCACCCTACCTGAAATACCCCTGCTCCTCCAATGGGAGCCCCTACCCTTCTTTATTTTTCTAGACTGCACACAGGATCATCTGATGTACTGTTTATGTCTTCATTGAAGACCCCTCTCCACACACATATATACACACACGGATGTAAGTTCCTAAGAATAAAGGTTTTATTAACTTACTTGAAATTTTTTTATCCCCAGTGCATAGAATAATCAATAGTAATATTTCAGTAAATTAGTTTTTGGAGAAATGAATAGCTAACAGTAAGAAGTGGATAAAATGTGGCATATTTTACATGTAACTGCCGTCTAGTCATTAAAAACCATTTATGAGGTGATGATACAGGAAATGCCTTATGATAGGATTAGAGATAAATATGAATGCATGTGTTTATAACAGTTCCAGTTCTGTTTAAATGAAAGACAGCTTGGGGCGCCTGGGTGGTTCATTTGGTTGGGTGGCTGCCTTCGGCTTGGGTCATGATCCCAGGGTTCTGGGATCGAGCCCCGCATCGGGTTCCCTGCTCAGCGGAGAGCCTGCTTCTCCCTCTCCCTCTGCCTGCCTCTCTGCGTACTTGTGCTCTCTATCTCTCTGTCAAATAAACAAATAAAATCTTAATAAATAAATCACTGTCAAATGAAAGAAAGAAAGAAAGAAAGAAAGAAAGAAAGAAAGAAAAAGAAAGAAAGACAGCTATAAGAAAATAGACTAATATGTTAAGTGGCTAACTCTGGGTAATGGGGTTACAGGTGACTTTTATTCTTATACTTGATTATATCTCATTGTTGGTTTTATATTATTTTTCTAGTAGGGGAATACATATTTTAAAAGAATATCTCTACTTGGCTATCCAGATGTCTAAATCGAAAATCAAACCCCCATCATTCCTTTTTGTCTTTATCATTCTGCCAAATCCTCATTATTTTTTTTTTTTAAGATTTTATTTATTTACTTGACAGCAGGAGAGCACAAGCAGGAGGAGCGGCAGAGGGAGAAGCAGGCCCCCCGTCGAGCAGTGAGCCCATGCTGGGCTCAATCCCAGGACCCTGGGATCATGACCTGAGCCGAAGGCAGTCGCTTAACCGACTGAGCCACCCAGGCGCCCCCCAAATCCTCATTCTCAGCTTTCCATGTCTAGGAGTATCTTTTTTGATAGTGTATCTCTCGGACTTCCACTGCTTATTGCCTTAGGCCAGGCACTCATCTAACGCCTCCATAACATTTGTAACCTGCAAATATCCCCCTGCTTTCTGTTTCCTTTATCGGTGTATCTTACTCAGTACTGGCCCCATCTTTCTAAAACCTTTGCAGCAGCAGTTAGCTAAAAGCTAAGCCTCTTGAACTAGTATTGAGATTTTCTACTTACTGAACCACCTTCTCTGTCCAGTACCCTCCCTGAATGCTCACCATTGTCTATAGTTAGTGTCTTTATAAACCTTTACGTAGATGAAGCTCATTTTGATTTTTTTGCTTTTCTACACTGATTTTCTTGTCTGCAGTTATACCCTCTTGTTTAGTTCATCTCCTGTGTTTCCAGGCCCAGTTTATTTTCTGTCCTCTTGAGGTTGTTGATAGCACTTGGTCTCTTTTACATTTTCTGGCATACTTGCCTAGTTTTATATACCTTTTTCTTAACTATACTTGAGGTATTTGAGGATAGGCCTCTTTTACCTTTTTTATTTTTCACTTTAATGGCCCCAGCCAAGTCTAGGAGCCTGAGAAATAAATTTGAGAGGTCTGAGTCCTGCCGCAGAAATAAAGATGACATGAGGTGATGTGTGTAAACGTAAAGCGCTCTACATCACTTCTTGTGACTGTCCTCAGCCAGTGGTCATGTCAGTGTTTTAAGCGGAAAAATGATATAATTTTATTAATTAAAATACGAGAACTATATTTTAAATAAAATAGTGTCAGCTTGCACATATACCAGTGGATAAATGTGAATCGTGTACCTCTGCTGTGTTCTGGTTCTTTTGATAAAACTCTCTTTGATAATTGCTGTCTTTTCAGTTTCCAAGAATCAGACTAAGTTGTCATTCATCCTTGACGTACACCAGTGATTTCCTCTCAAAAGAGAGGTGATGATCATTTGCCTTCTATTATTTCTACTATATAGCCATACTGCAGTCCATTCTTCTCGTTAAATCACCACAGACCGCTGTGTCAGATATAAACAGCAGATCTTAGATTTCAGTGACTCGTTCATTCAGTCCTATCTTGTGTTCCGTTATTGCCTCTTTAGTTACAGCTTCTTTAGTTCATAGACTAACTTACACATGGTATGTGTACGTCTGTTTTTGGACCACCTCCAGTTCATTATGATTTTCATGATCTTGTGTCTAATTAGACCCTCACCAGGACCTAGAAAACGCCAGTCTCCTCAGTACAGTGACCCTAAGCCACACGGTAACCGTCCAAGTACAACTGTCAGAGTTCACCGTTCATCTGCACACAATCTTCACAACGACAGAGGGAAAGCTGTTCGTTGTCGGGAAAAGAAAGAACAGAGTAAAGGAAGAGAGGAAAAGGTAAATGTTACTGGTTTTCATAAATGAAATATTTATTAACCATAAAAATGAAGACTGTATAGGGCGCCTGGGTGGCTCAGTTGGTTAAGCGACTGCCTTCGGCTCAGGTCATGATCCTGGAGTCCCGGGATCGAGTCCCGCATCGGGCTCCCCGCTCAGTGGGGAGTCTGCTTCTCCCTCTGACCCTCTTCCCTCTCGTGCTCTCTATCTCTCATTCTCTCTCTCTCTCTCTCTCTCAAATAAACAAATAAAATTAAAAAAAAATGAAGACTGTATAAATTTTAATAATTTTTAGTCTTTGAAACGACCAGACTATATTAGAACCTTAGTCATATTCCACCTAGACTGGGATTTTTCCCAGTCACTATTAAACAGATACTTTGGAGTATTTTTTGTATTTTTAGATGTTGAAATAATTTCAGACTTGCAAACAGGTTGCAAGAATGGTATAAATTTACCCAGTTTTACCAATTATTAATATTTTGCCCCTTTTGCTTTATCTTCTACTCTCTATATACATTTTTTTCCTGCAACATTTAGAGTAAATTGTAGATATCATGCTCTTTTACCCTTAAATACTTTAGAGTGTATTTCCTAGGTACTTGGACATTCTTTTACATAAACACAATACAGTTGTCAAAAGCCATACATTTTACAGTGATGCAATGTTGCATCAGTCCGTAGACCCTCATAAAATTCAGCCAGTTATCCCAGTGCTGACATACATAGCTCATTGTGCTCCCATGCCAGGATGCAGTATGGAAGTATACATTACATTTGGTTGTCATGTTTCTTTCATCTCTTTAATGTGAAAACTTTCTCAGCCTTTCTCTTTTTTGGTTCTTGGTATCTTTGAAGAGTACAGGCCAGTTGTTTTGTAGAATACCTCTCAGTTTCGGCTTTTCTAATGTTTCCTCCCGATTAGATTAAGGGTATGCATTTTGGGCAGGAATACCATGGAAGGGAAGTTTTTTTCTTCACAGTGTATAATAAGGAGACACAGGATGTTTATTTGTTCTGTGACTTGTGATAAATTGGAGTGCCTCGTTAGGGTGGTGTCTGCCTGGGCTTTCCACTATAAAGTTACTCCTTCTCCCTTCATATTAATTTGGGGGGAGATACCTTGAGACTGTAAATAATCCTATTTCTCATCAAAATTTCATCTACTTGTTTTAGCATTCAGTGATGCCTGCCTAAATCAGTTAATTCTGTGACAGTTAAAAAATCATGATTTTCTAATGCTATTATTTCTAATACATTAATTGGCATCCTGCTGTAAGGAAAAACTTCATCTCTTTCTCTTTATTTAATGTTATCAGTATGGAGTCAGTGGATTCTTATTTGATTCAGTGAATTACAATCTGTTGCTATCTTTTTGATGCTTAAATTGTCTAAGATTTGAGGGGTGAGACCTTTGAAACTAGATCACTATGTCTTTTTTGACATGTACTCGTCATTCTCTGAGTACCTCCTCATTTTCTGGCAGTAATCAACAAGTCAGTTGTCCAAGAGATTTAAATTAATATGATCTTGCTGGTAAGGCAGGAAATATAAAGCTTTTCAAAAATATAGCATGGCGATTAAGAGCATGGACTTTAGATACAGGTAGACCTGTGTTGAAGCACCAACTCTGCTCTGTGTTACTATAAGCCGTTTGGTCTTTCTAAGTTTTATTTCCTCATATATATAATTATTTTAACACTTGTCCCCTAGAGTTTTCATAGGATAAGTGCAATAATCTTTTCTGGCCCCCAGCGCATACTTCGTGAGTGTTAGCTGTTACTATTTCCCACACATTCCAGGTAACTGAGATTTTACTGTATTTGCTGTTGCTTAAACAGTTTTTTTATTGCATTTTTTCAAAAATTTAATAGATATTTCAGATGTTGGTGACTATGCTCCTTAGTGGATACAATGCAAAAGTAGAAATATTGGGTTAAAACCAAGACAAAAATAAATCCCTTAAAAGGAAACTCACTTAAAAAAGTTCTTGTTTATCAGTGAAAGTATTTTAGCCTTCAGTTTTAAAACATACAGTGTTTCCACCACTCTTTGGTTCTCTATTGTTTCAAGAAAGAGTAAGAGAAGAAAGTATACTAAATAAACATAAGATTAGCTGCAATAAGAGGAGGTCTTATCTGTATCTCTGCTTAGTGTAGACTGCTTAATTGCTAAAATCCTCAGGACTTTGAGCGAGGGGTATAGGATAGCCAGACAACAAATGTGTAAAATAGGTTTTCTCCCCGAGTCAGCTAGTGTGTCTTGAAAATATGTACCCACTGTTGAGAAACTATACTTGGGGAGACCAGACTAATAATATTTCAGGTAATTATAGAATAATTAGATGCTTAACAGTGGTAGTAACTGATGACTAAAAAGAACAGAATTCTTTTTTTTCATTATGTTATGTTAATCACCATACATTACATCATTAGTTTTTGATGTAGTGTTCCATGATTCATTGTTTGTGTATAACACCCAGCGCTCCACGCAGAACGTGCCCTCTTTAATACCCATCACTGGGCTAACCCATCCCCCAACCCCCTCCCCT